TAGCATAAAAACTCATCCCCCTTCAAATTATAGTTGACGTGTTTCAGGGATTCTTCCGAAAATTTTTCTACTCCGAAATAATAGGAGTGGGAAGTTTTCAAATTGACACCCTAAAAACAAAGTCGTGTTGGTTACAGAACTTATAACTCGAGAACAGCTGAACCGATTTTATTGATTTTTGCTTTGTTGGATTTGTCTTTGCCCGTACTAACATAATAACTATTGAAGCATAGAAAAAATCACGAAAAACAAATTTATGAAGAAAATTCATTAAATTCGCATACGGCGCCATTTCTCATAACCGATATGAAGTTCGCCGTGTCAGATTACGCCGTCCTTTCATAATTAAATGAAAACAAGGTTATGTTGAACATTTGTCATATCAGTCTCTAAAGGATATTACAAACTACGAAACAAAGGATTGCTTATCGGCCTCGATTTTTCGAATCAACTTTATGGTGTAGGTACTAGCACTGTTGCTGACGTCATCAAATTTTCGGTCAGTTGTTTGCGCCAGCGGTCGTATTTTGAAATATAAACTTTTGATGGTGAACATTATTATATTATTTTGGTTAGCCTAATAGGTAAAGCGAAACATGCAAACGACATTAAGAAAAATTCTGTTTTGAAATGTTGATTAATGTACTAAAATCAATTAAGGGGCGGCCGCCCGACGAAAACAACGAATTTGTTTGAGCTTATCTACGTTGTTTCTAGATATATTAACGTTTAAAATTATTATCTATCATGAAGTACCTACTCTAAATTTATTTATAGATAGTCAAATTTAACTGCGGGAGAAACCGCGGGGAACAGCTAGTTATAGATAAAGAAGGTACCTACATTTTGTCATTTAATCAATATTTTACCTCCAGGTACGAAATGCTTAGGTTTGTTCCAATCTCGCTGGAAACAAAAACATTCAAGTTTCTTCCGCTGTGCATATGTCAGAATAGAAGACAACATATCCCAAAAACCAAGAACAAACCCCAAATTGACTTAAAGGTATGGTTTCGCTTGCGCGTCTGACGGCAGCGCCCGGACGCAACCGGTAGCCGCAGCGACTGGCAGTGCGGTTGGTTGTTCCCATTTAACGCGTCGGAATTTTATTTTTGCAGTCTTTTGCTGTATATCGACGTGTAAAGAAATGAAAGAACGTTTAGTAATAGCTGTTCTTTTATCGATCTAGTAAGACGTGTCTCAGACAGGCCGCAGTCGTTGTCTACGTATTGTTTACATCCACTTTTTTTTGGGTAATTTTTTTGAAAGTTTGCATTGCATTAAATTTATATTGTATCAAATTAGACATTATCTGCAGTTCAATTAACTTTACAAAGCAAAAATCAAAACAAAGCAAAAACAAAAACATAACCTTAAAGGCCTGCCAACTGTCAAAAATTGTATACTTTACGCGTTGTCTACATAGTTTACACGTTGTCTACATAGATTACATAGTTTACATTGTCTACGCGTTGTTTACACCAGACGTAGACAATCTTTGTTTACGCGTAGATGCCCATCTCTGATTTTTATAATTAAGGCGCCAAAATTTTCTGCTATAGAGGAAAGCTCTAAACTTCTTTTTATCCTCATTTAGATGATTTCTTATTTAGATACTGTGGTACCTTCTATGGATCATTTTTAAGAGAAGTCGTGAGTTTTCTGACGTTTCTTCTACAATAATTTTGAATCTTCCTCTTCCGATGATAGAGCAGCTAATAAACGTTTATTCGTCTCTTTACGCGTCGATATAGATACAGCAAGACTACGAAAATAAAATTCCGACGCGTTAAGTGAAAACACCCAACCCCACTGCCACTCGCTGCGGCTACCGGTTGCGTCCGGACGCAGCGGCCAGCCGCGCCAGCGAAACCATACCTTTAGAGAGCATCAAACTACCAAATAAAGTTCATAATTTCGGCTCTATAGGCGGTTACACACGGACGTGGATGGCTTGATACATATACGTGCATACATCAACGTGCAAACAAAAACGTGCATGACGCCTTTGTACAGACGGTCGCACAAAACTGTAGTCTTGCTATTCTTGCTACAGTGTTCGGAGTGTGCATACAAAATTTCTAGCGATTGCACATTCAAAAACGCGACGGTATCTTGCATACACATTGATGTTTTTGTTTGCGCGTTCATGTATGTGCGTACATGTTTTAAGACATCCACGTCCGTGTGTAACCGCCTTATCACAGAATTCAGCGAAACCGAAGTCATCCCGAACAAATTGCAATATTTCCAGAAGCGACTCAACTTTATCAACGACAGATGAGAATTTTGAAAAAAATCAAATGAAAATATATTTTTTTTCTTTTGAATTATAGGCGATTTTGCAAAAGGCTTAAAGGTAGACATGCTCTGTCATTTTCATTAGTTTTTGTTCAATAATTTCAGTTCATTCATATTTAATTTGAACGAACTAAGGTTGCAACTGCACCCCGCTGTTTCTTTGGCTGCCTATCTTTAGAGTTATCTTTTTCAATTTTTAGCGGGGTTATTTTTATATTTGGGAAAAAATGTATAGCAAGATCTTTTTCAAAAGATAGGCAACCAAAGAAACAGCCTGTTATTTTTTCGTACAATGAAATACCTACTCAAAATGTGGAAAAACTAACTCCACAAATCTTTAGATAATCGACCCAAAAATGTTTAGGCCAAATTTGAGCCAAATCTGACGTGCCGTTTTTTTTTTTGCGCCTTCAAAGCGATTTCACGAAAATGGGCTTATGTGCGCATGTACATGATGTGCTGTTACCCCCTTAAGGGACCGGACTTCAGATTCGTACCAAATCATTTAATAATTATTGCCTATTTCTGCGAAAAAATTAATTAAAAAAGTTGGTTAGCTAAGTTAAAGTTTATCCTATTTATATAATAAAGACAAATGATCTCTTTCAGGAAATATACAAGAAAGATAAATAACTGATCATAAATTCTTGAATGTTTTCTCAAGTAACTAGATCAATCATCATTATCAACAGTGCATAAAATTATTAAACCAAACCGTTTTCGTTCATATTATAGTCACATCAATCCTGGGTTGGTATTTGATTTTCTGGAAAAAGGCTGAATTAATTTAATAGTTAATGAGTATAATCAACTCACGATAAAAGTGTAATACTACCTTATATTCGAAAAAAAAAAATAGTAGGTAGGTATTCAATACAGGAGCAACAATTTCTACTTTATTGCTTGGCAATATTTGATTTGCATATTGAGATCATGATACTGAGTAGGTACTTTCTAAATGCATTTCTATAACATTGGATAATCTCAAGAAATGAACTATGATAAAAAGGAATTAAAAGATTACATTTTTAAGCTAAAAATCAGGCAAATTCATACTAAGAAGTAAAACAAATAAAAGAATTAGTCTTTGAAAAATATGTCATTTACTGACAATTATTAGCTAGGATATTTTTGCTATAATACTCAGTGTAGATCCATTTTCTCCTTATTTGCTTCTGTTCAATAAATCGAATTGTTTTATAAATAATTACACCCAGATAATAGATATAATTAATTCGAAGCAAAAACCCTAACCTTCATCCGCTAAAGAACAATATAGTGTTGGAAATTACAAATTTCATAAAAAATGACCTACTGCAGTAGCTCATGCTGTTGAAGAAAAAAAACTGTTTTACATCAATTGATTTACAATGTAAATAAAAAGGAAAATTTATTTGTATAATATTGGGAATTCCTTCGATACGTTTGAAAAAATAACAAAGATAATGCTTGCATTATATTCATATTTAATTTTTTTTAATACATAATAACTTTTAAATAATAAGTAAAACCTCCTCTCACTTTTCAAATGATGAATATTTAAACGGTATGCTCATGCATGCACAAACAATTATTTTATTAAACGGATTGTTTTCCATTATACGAGATTATCAAGTGTGAATGGTTGCATTATTTAGTATTGCTCTTTTTTTTGCGTATTAGAAACTGCTCAACCTGCACAATGGATTAATTTTTAATTGAGTTTTCAGAAGATCGAGAGGAAAATAAGATTCCTTAAATGTCCTCAAGCTGCGAAAATACAAATAGAGAAATAAAGTGGATGATTTAACTTTAACTCACGTAGAAATTGCAGCATAAACTCTCATAACAAAAATTATTTTAAAGGTTTTTTTATCCAGTTTTTTAGTCAAAACCAAATCTAATCTGCCTATATTTCAGGCCCTCTGGAAATCATTTCTACTTGGCCTTATAATTTTAAATCCCAAAATGCCTTGATTTTAAATTATTTTTAGTTTTTTTCAAATTATATTTTTCCATTAAAAAATCAAGTGAGGGAATTTCTCGCGCGCATTATGATTTTTATGGATTTTGTTCCACTTCATTCTTGTTTGAAGTTTTAGTTTAATTTGTCTTACTTTTGTTGTTTTATTTCGAGCACAACAACAAACAAAATTCAGTTTGCTAGCTAGTAATATTATACAAATATATTGAATATTAGTGCATTTAAATGTTTTTTTTTTTTTGCGTCCAATCAGAAGAAAATCTTTAAAAATTTAAACTATCTAAACAATATCTAATAATAACATAACAAATAAAAAAAAAAAAAATTTATGCGAAGTCCTCGTACATTGAAGAAAATTCCGACCGGCACCTGTATCTAAACAAACATAACTATAAAGAAAATATAATCACATCAACAATGGAAACATTTAAAATTAAAGTGAATAATTTTGAGTAGGTAAAATGAAACAATGTAATGCCTGGTTAAAAGCTACTACTGACATTGCTGTTTTCGCATTGTCAACCGCGATTCCGTCATCGGATAACAAAATCTAATTATGTTCGGAACATAACTTTTTTGTTTTATAGTTTTTTTTTTTTTTTTCATTCTGGAACCTATTTAATTTTTCCTCCCTGCAACTTTTTAACTTTAAGTCCAAAATCTAAATCGGGTGAACGTCAAAGATGTGTGTGCTTTGTTTTTATATACACATTGAGAAAGAAGCAAAATTACTCACATCATCCTCATCCAAAGTGCCATACACCTCCAGCTTGTCAATCCTGATGGTCCCCTGGAAAGGATAGCACAAAGATCCTTGAGCTATCGACGAATTGCTCCAGACTGACACCTCGGGATCGCCATTAGGACTCTTGTCCTGGTTCCGAATGCACAAGCTGAATTCTTGGGGTATCAACACGCAAGTTTCCATGTTGATCAATAAATGCCTTTATATCAATTTCAATTTGATTGTTTAATATTTTTTTAACATGTCTTTATATATTTCTCTGTTTAATAAGGATTTGTTCTGTGCAACTTTACATAAGTAGTGAATATATATTTTTGAATATATAACTTGTAAATATCACTTTTTAAAGCTATTAATTGGGGGTGGCTACAAGCTAATTATAATTTCGTCGTTATATCACAATTCATAAATTAAGTTCTGGTTTCTATTTTTTTTTGGACAGAAATTTTCTTTGTCAAAATAAAAGTCACACACAAAATGTTTACTTATTAATTAAATAAAACGTCCGAGTTGGTCTTTAAAACAGAACACAATAACAAAAGTTTTTGAAAAAAAAAATCGCGCGAAAATCGAACAGTGATATCGAACCTATTACTTGATACGAATTTAACGCGTAAAAATGCCCCTGATCAATCGAACGTCCCCGCGACTAAAGGTACTATACCGGCTTTTTCCGCGTGTTCGTTTTAACCCCGCTTAGAGTGTGTGTGAACTACCCGTTTGTAGCCATGAGCTTCACATGAATGGCACTGAACCGCTCTAGCATTGACCCTGGTACGCCGCGGAGCTACTGTGGTACCTCGCGATCTGCCCCCACCACCGGCCACCACGTGGGTAAACTGGTGCACTGCTAACTGACAGGTGTATTCTATAAGGTATCTTGGGCCGCGTATATAAGAGCAAGAGTCAATATGAAAAAGTGAACGGAAGATATTGATGCTTCGCGAAGGATTCAGATTCTTTCTTCTGCCGACGGAGACTGTGTTTTTCTTTTTTCGTTTAGTTTTAAGGATGTTTTGAAGGAAATGACGTCACTCGGACACATACACCTATACATTATTTATCATTTGATATTTCCATACATGGTATAAGTACCTAATACCTACTGCTTGTTTGAAAATCAGTACCTACGGTTTTTTCGATTGATTTTTCTTTTCTAATAATTTGTTGAAATAAGCTTAAATATATTTTGTTCGAGTATGTACGTTATTGAAATAACATGAATCGGTTCATTTACCAAAAATGCAATTAATGCGGTAATTCGAACGCAATATACAAGAGTTCAACTATAATTTTGACATGTGTACTTATAGTATACCTAGTTTATCTGTTATGAATAGACGGAATTTTCCAAAACCAATAAATTTGATGCACCGCGTTCATGATTTCAAAATCCAAGGATGTTTAGAGGAATCCTACAAAGTATGGGAAACTATGAAAGAATTTCGACGAAGTCGGAGGAAGTTCGAGAATAGTCGAACAGTTACGGAAAATATTCAAACAATAGAGAATGTTAGACGAGAGGGAGAAAACAGAAATACATTCAAATAACTTTCTTTCAATTGTTATTTTTCAGCTTATATCATGACTCAGCTCAACTCTGTGTATTTGTTGATTATCCATAAATGCCTGATCACTTTTTTTTTATGGCATGTGACTGATATAGTAGGCATTAAGTATATAGGTATATAAAATCGTGTGTACCTTCCCAAGCCCATATACAGAAAAGATCAATCAGATCAGTTTCCAGTTCTCAATTATCAATTAGGATGCGTTCCTATTTTGTCTAATTATAGGATTTTTGTATAGTTAATAATATTGATGATCATCCAAACAAAACACATTTTGTTCATATACCTATAACATCCGATTATAAATTGTACTCGTACCTCTATCAACTACCTTAGTATAATCAGCAAGTGAAAATAAAAATCTTGTGGTTTATGCCTATCGGCGTTCGGAAAACAAAGCACGAAGCTCTTTGGGGTACGACCGACGGTCAAATGAATCATAAATAAACAAATTATTGCATTTTTCATTTTATTGCCTAGGTATGCTTATTTGTAATGCAGCGCAATACATTGACGCAATATAGACAAATACGACTACCAGAATATACATCCATCCAAGAGCACAGAAGAAGCGATTTGAATTACCTTGATACCTACTCCTACCCTACCTAGGTCCTCATTCTTGAAACAGGGGAACAGCGTTCCCAGGAGAATGAGTGTTCCGTCTTTGCTACTTATATTATCATTTACATATCATTGAGAAAGACGGAACACTCGTTCTCCTGGAAACGTTGCTCCCCTGTTTCAAGAATAAGGACCCTGCCTACATTAACATCATCAACGAAGAAAACGCAATTTGAATTAGTTATAAACAGTTTTCTCGTATCTGAAACATTCAGGTACATGTTTATAAAAACTAGAAATATTTTTGTAATTGTTATGAATGTGTTGGAAATCACCTATATTTGAACTTTGTTTTTCAGTTTCAACACAACACTGAAGTGGTCCAATATGTACCATAAATTTTTTTATGTATGGGGTAGTTTGTTCATTTTATTTGTCGCTAGATGACAGCAGCATCAATCAGCGCTATCATGTCCTTCTAATTAATTTTGCGTTTTCTTTTCGCTGGGTGGCAACGACAACGACCAAGTTCGGATAAAGATTCATAATTTGCACTAATTTTTTCGTTTTACATTTTTTGTTCAATAATATACGGATAAATACCCATATTCAAGTTAATGTGTATGCCATTTACACAAGCGTCAGCGTCCATGTTCCGAGCAGTGAAATGTGTTCCGAGTGACCTAATATTGATTTGACATTATTAAAATAAACAGATTTGATAACTATTATCTATCTAAATTGATATTCTAGTGGGTATTATTTTTCTTAGGATATCTATATACCTAGACGAATCTGTTCCATCTTTTTTGGATAAAAATTAAATGCGAACTTGAGTCTCTAAATTCATTGTTTCATTGCATTTCTGGGCTACTCAAGAGCTCTAGTCTGAAAGAGAATTCTATTAGTTTGGTTAAGGCTGGACACCCAATTATGCAATAAAAAAATCATTCGTGATTTTATACATTCCATCAGCAAAACGCAAAACGTATCGATCCATGACTTTCTTTGATTTTGATTCATGAAGGTCGAGAAGGCCCTTCTAGTACACAGATAAGCCCTTTAATTGATGACGAATCTTCGTGGCAATAAGACCCTTCAATACTTTTACATTCACATTATAGATAGATAACAATCATGTGAGCTTATAATTTTTTAGAGTGCAATCAACCATCTCATCAAATAGTAATTAGGCTTACATTCCCATTAACAAAAAAATAAATCATCGCTTCATAAATTCGCAGCAATTAGTAACCTGACCGTGAAGACCCCTGGTTATTTAATTCATTCAATCCTTGGTATAGGTACTCTGTGAATTTTTTTTTCAATAGCAATCCCTCAAGGACGTTCCACGTACCGAGCCAGACCATACCCACTGACACCCAATAAGTACTCGCAGTGTCACACAGTTGGAACTTGGGTACTTAAAGTCGCGTTCTTAGTACGCACCGCCTATCTTCGGCCAATGGTGGTACCAAGTTGGCGCGGCTTCTTGTCATTGGTCGAGTGGTGCGGTCGCTAGGAGGGTACTATTGTAAGTAGAGTGGCCTGCAGGTGAGAGATCGGCAGGTGTACGCTTAACAGGACTACCGCTGCCGCTGCAGGATTTTTCGATTTTGTTTTGTTTGTTCGGCTTGTGCGATTACTTCAAATAAAAAATTTAAATAAGCGATTCGGTTCAGCAGTTGGGAAATTAATTTTTGCAGTTTATTAGCCAATGTAAACCTTTTGCATATTAATATCACAAGCACGGGAGATTTGTAATTAATGGTAATTCGTTTAGATCTCTCGGATGGATACTTTTATGATCATTTTTATGTTTTAATGTTATTATTCTGCGCCCTTTGAAATACCTATTGGATCATCACTATAATAATTGATTTAATGTTGATTTTTTTGCCTAAACCAGGACCCTGTTTGCCTACATTTTAACCTAGTAACTACTCAGATGACAGATAGTAAATTGTAATGTAATTAAATGTGACTAAGAGCTGCTTGCATGAAATTTGTTGCACAACATTTTTTTTACGCTCAACAAAAGTACGATTGACGTAGCGATTATCAATGTTTAGCTCGTTCCAACGATATTTCTTATGTTATGCCAGCTTGACACGGTCGACGGTCCAAATGTATTTGGATGAGAACTTGAACCAAGTAATTTGGCAGCCACAGCCTACTTACTTGGATGTTAAGACCTATCCAACTGGACTTGGATAAATACAGTTGACACGATCCAAGTTAAATCCAAGTGAGGCGCGCGCAGCATCCGAGGGTACTTGATCTAACCACACTTGGACCGTGTCAACCTGACTTATTCCTACATACTAATAGTTTAAGCCAGGTTGACACGGATCGTATCAACTGCTTATCTAAGTCCTGTTTGATAGGTTCTAACATTCGGCTGGCTGCCAACCAACTCACTGGGTCCAAGTGCACTTGAACCATTTCAACCTGAGTCGCTTTCCAGGACAAATTTTAAGGTGCTCCACACCCGTAGCTTCCACTCTGGTGCCTAAACAACTGTTTTTCCACTGGAACGCACCCTACGTTAAGCGTCGTGTTTTGATGCACCCATAAAATAGCAGGTGATTGAGAGGGCGGGGGAGAGGAAAAACAAACAGTCTTATTGCGTGAAACTCTGAAGCGCTAGAACGCCTATAAAACCGCCCGGGGCGCTCTAGAGCAGTTAAGGAGTGCTTAAAGTGCGTCACTGGAAAGCGACTCTGGCTTTAGTCTGGGAATTTTGAACCGTTTAAATAAACAATAAAAATTCTTTTATCTTCAAGCGATCTATAATTTGAACTTTATTGTGTCACCACTTGACACAAAAGGGATCCATTATGTACCTTGGACGGATTTTTATTTTGTGGGGTAATTTGTTCGTTTTTTTTTCGGCAGCAGCATCAAGCTCCGCTATTCTGTTCTTGTAATTAATTTCTTGTTTCCTTCTCGCTAGAAGACAGCATCAACTAACAATTTAGTTAGGGAATCAGCTCCAAGAACATACCTATACTTTTATTCTATTCATTATTTGCACTAATTTGTTGGTTTTACAGTGTTCATTGTTTGCTCAATATTATGAATGAAATTAATGTATAAACAAATATGGATAATCAACTTGATCTGCCTGCTCGTTTACTCGAGCGTCTATGTTCCGAGCAGTAAAATGTATTCCGGGTAATACGTCGTAAGTTATATTTTTCCGAAAATGGATGAAAAAAGCAGCGTGAAAGGAAATATTGCAATCCCTTGGAGATAAAATGTTATTGCATGCCATTCGGCCCCGAGATCTTTCCAATTATTTTTTATTCGTTGTAACTATGCGTTATGAACAATAATTTCTTGAAAAGTTGTGGACGAAACGAGTCCGACCCTGACGGCTATTCTATATAGGCACTGTTGCCAGATTCCTCAGTTTTGACTATACGTAGTATTCTTGTTATCTCGAATGGAATGCTCTATTTATTTCTACTGCAATGAGCTGGGCGTGTCAAAGTTGGTCAGATTCCAAATTTTCGAAAGTTTATCTCCATTGGTTGCAGAAATATGACAACACCGCATTTGCAGTAGAGAGTACCGCGACGCTTGATTTTGAAAACCACTA